CCCCCCCCCAGGATCCCCCCCACCACCACCAGACTGGAAACACTGCCCATGGCTCCCTCGTGCCTTTGGGATGAACTACAATCTCCTTAGCTTAGTTCATCAAAAGCCTTTCACACGTCTGCCATGGCTGCTGGTCTTGCCTTTTCTCTTGCCACTGTTCTCTGCACTGGCACCCCCGCCCCTGTCCCGTTTCTGTGTTCTGTCCCTGCTAATCTATGAAATTGAAGCTTCCGGAATGTGCTGTGCATTCTTGGGCTCCTTGCCTCTGCACATGCTGTTCCCCCGGCCCCGGGCACTTTTCTAACTCTAAACCTGGCTCACGTGTCATGAGGAACCTTCCTTGACCACCACCAGGCTGAGTTAGATGCCCACCCTGTGTTTCTGCACCCTGTGCCCTTCCCCGAGTGGTCATTTGTTCCCGTCTTGTTTGTCTTCCTCACCAGACTGAAGGAGCCCTTCCAGGGCAGGGACTCTGCTCTCTCATCTCTGAACCCCCTGAAACTAACACCATGCCTGCAACAAAGTAGGCGAACAAATAAGTGACCCAACCCAATGATGGAATGAGCGAATAAGCGCCTAAGCAAGAATCAAGTTTTGAGTTTTAGTTAACTTCTAATAACTTTGTCTATAACATTTTAACTTCTTCCTGTTTTTCTTTTATTTCCTAGCACAGCTGAAGGTTTAACAAGGAAAAATATGTCAGATGTCAGTGGGTGGCAAACATTTTTACAAGCCCTTGGCTACTTCCTCAAAATGTTCTTTGGCTCAGCAGCACTCGGCACCCTCACTGGCTTAATCTCTGCACTAATATCCTTTTAATATGATGAGCACACATGTCCGAGAAGATTTTCTTAATTACATTCATCTACATTCAGCCATTTTCTCCCCTTCCTTATGGAGGCCGGGGGCCAGTTTTAGTCTTAAGGTTGAGTTTGAAGAAGGATCTTTATTTACTTTGGGTTTGAGGATCACTTTAATTGAAAATCAAGGATTTTTAGATTTAACATGTTAAGATTTAGGACGTCACTGTTCAAAGCGTCAGATCTCAGTTGGATCTGATTTCAGGGGAGCTTCTCAGTTCAGAAGATTTTCAGTTTCTACTGCCTCACTTTTCACATTCAGAGAACTGGAAATTAATTTCCTCTGAAAATACCAGCTTGACTAAGTCTTTACCCCACTGAAAGTGTTTATCTGGAAGACCAGAAAAGAGACTTTTAAAATGAGCTCCATCCAAGTTATTCGCACTGATTGCATTGTTTAACAGCCCATAAGCTTTTCCAGCCGGAGGAGGAAAAGGCTCGTTAAGGCCAATGACACCTTCATTGCTGTAGAAAATTTGTCCTGTTTAAAATAGGAACAGGCACCAGACCATTTCTGTGGGAGCCTAAGCCTGTGTCTCAGGGAGTTGGCCGCCTGGCCCTCGTCCACGAGCAGTTTGTTCCACAGATGGCCGGGAGAGCCACCCCTGCCTGGACAGCCATGCTTGTCTGCCGTCCTGTTGAATTTTGCCTTCACCTCCTTTGTCCAGAAGTCTAAAGGCTCTATTGTTGGCTGACAGCGTCTCATATTGTACCAATAAACGGGATGGAAAGGAGAACTTTTTCTAGTTCAGCGTTTTCCTCCATATTCATCTCGGGGGCCAGGGGGGCGGGAATCATCGGCTGTGATGGAGCCAAGTAGATGGGTGCTGTGAGCCCAGCATAGGCACGTGGGCTGTATTTGAATACAGAGAAGATTCTCCTTCCACAAGGGCGTAGGTTTAGAAGTCTCCAGGAATAGGAAGGAGGGTCCTTCTGCGGGGCCTTTTACCCTGGAGTTCTGGGCACCCCGTTAGCGGTCTCCTCTGACGTTGGAGGAGGGGTGAAAGAGTGACTCGGCCCTGGAAGGGACCTGCCATTGTGGGCTGTCCTCAGTCTGGCTGCGGCCCCAGCTCTGCCCCCACAGCCCCAGCATACTGCCAGCCTTCCGAGTCAGCATTTTTTAAACATGTTGACTTAGGTTGGTTTTAATTTTTCCCCCACCATTTGTCTTAGGAATTTACAGCTCTTAGTGTTTTGTCAGCTTCCCTTTCGTAAAACAACTGTCTCCCTGCAAAGAAGAAAAAAAAAAATCCATAATGACAGGTTTTCATGTGTTACCTTGGAATGTCCCAAACTCTTTTGTGTTCGTTGTTTACCATATGTATTTGGAAGGCAGCGGTTTTGTGACTTTTCTACATCTCCCGTCAACTGTCCCTTGGTTCTTTTTCCTTGACAACTGTTATTTACGTGCTAAAGCATATTGACTTGAGGAAAACGCCTTCCTTGGAGTTTGGCATGATGATCATCTTTGCTTATCTTCCTTATGGGCTCGCTGAAGGAATCTCGCTCTCGGGTAAGTGACAGAAACGTGAAATGCTGGGGTTGACGGCGGTCCTGCCTGGTGAAAGAGGTTATGTCAGTGGGGTCACTTTCAATCCCAAGAGACAGTCACAACTCAGAAGAGCTTAAGCAATGAAGGGGATTTACCGGCCCTGTAAGGACACCTCTGAATTTAGACCTGGCTGGATTCAGGGGCTCAGTGTCATGGGCACACTTTCCCTTCACCCACCATCCTGTAGTGGAGACCAGAATATCACTTCCAGTGCTGCTGCTTTCCCAGAACAAGGCCTCTGAGGGGCCTTCACTCAAAGGATGGGGTCAGCCTGCCAAGGGCAGTGAATCCTCTAGCCTGGCCCCAGACCCTGGTGCCCACTGATGTGCTATATTCTATCATTACAGTGTTGCCTTTTCTAGAATGCCGTACAAATGAAACCATGTAGTACGTAGACTTTTGTGTCTCCTTTCTTTCAGTCATCATAATGCTGAGAGACATCCATGCTTTGGCATGTATCAGTAGTTTATATATACATTCTTACAGCACCACATTTCATCCATTCGCCATTTGAAGGACATTTGGGTTTTTTCAGATTTTATAGCTATGAATATTTGTGCCTATTTTCAAATATCTTGGATAAATACCTAAGGGTGGGGTCGCTGGGTCATATAGTAAGTATATATTTTATGTTATTAGAGACTGCCAAGTGTTTTCCAGAACGATGGGACCATTTGGCATCCCCACCAGAATGTTAAGAGAGAGTTCCAGTTGTTTCACGTCCTCATCAACACTCACTCTAATGTTTAAAACTTTAGCCATTCAGATATGTGTGCGGCAACTTGATTCTGATGTGTTTTGGAGTAATTCTCTTTCTATTCTGCTTGGGGTTCATGGAGCTTCATGGGTTTATAGTTTATGAGGTTATAGCTCTTCACCAAATTGGGTAAATTTTTACCCATTTCTTTAAATGACTTCCTTCTGTTCTCCCATCTCTTCCCCTGTTGGGAGCCCAGTTACTTAAATTATGATAGACAGCATGCTATCATCCCATAATACACTTTGCTTTTCTAATTTTTTTCAATCTTTTTCTTTTTTTCTTTCTAAGCTTTACTTTGCTTCGGCCAGTTTCTGTTTCTGTGTCTCTGTGGTTTGGATCTTCTGCCTGCCCATTATCCTGTCGGTCCCGTCCAGTGTATCTTTCATTTCAAATATTGTGTTATTCATCTTACAGAAGTTCCCTTTGGGTCATTTTTATATCATTGATTTCTCTCCTCACGTTCACGATTGTCTCTACATTCTTGAGTATATGGAATACATTTATTTATTTAAAAAATTTTTAATGTTTATTTTTGAGAGAGAGAGAGTGTGTGAGTGGAGGAGGGGCAGAGAGAGAGGGAGACACAGAGTCTGAAGAAGGTTTCAGGCTCCAAGCTGTTAGCACAGAGCCCAACGTGAGGCTCGAATTCATGAACCGCGAGATCATGACCTGAGCCGAAGTTGGACGCTTAACTGACTGAGCCACCAGGCGCCCCGTGGAGTACATTTATAAGAGCTGCTGTAATGTCCTTGTTCGCCAGTTCCATCCTCTCTGTCCATTCTAGGACTCTTTCTGTCAGTTAACTTTTCTTCTGCCTCTAAGTCATATTTTCCTGCTCTTTGCTTGCCTATTAATTTTGTATTGAATGCCGGTCATTGTAAACTTTATTATGTCGTTGACTACTAGATTTTCTCGTATTCTTCATAGAGTTCTGGATTTTCTTCTGCCGAGTCTCTAAGTTTCTTGGAATCCATATAATCCTTTTGAAGTTTACTTTTAAACTTTGTCAGCAGGTCCAGACTAGCACTAGGAAGTAATGCAGTGCCCTTCTGAGGACTCTGCCTCCTGTCTCATGTATTACAAGGCCACCCCACTCTGGCCTGCAGGAACGCAAACTTGCCAGCCTTATGTCTCCTTCAGGTTTGTTGGCCTATTGCTTTTAACAGTCCAGGATTCAGGGGGCCACTCTTGCAGTTCTCTGGAGCTCTCTTTCTGTGCAGCCCCTCCTCTCGGGTATCCTGGCTGCTTTGGGTCCCCCTCTTCTCAGCTACACTGACTGTGCTGGGCTCAATTTGGAGTTCCCTTCCCCGAGCCTCAGCCTAGAAACTATGTCAGGGCAGTAAAGTGGGCTGGGGCCTGGAGCAGGAATGGCCACTTTGTTTGTTTCCCTGTCAGTAATGTTTCCCTCCTGACAGTCCTACCCTGCGGTGCCCAATGCCAGAAGACAGTTTCATTTCATATCTTTTATCAGGTCTTCTACTTGTTTATGGCAGGACGGCAGTTTTCACAGCAGTTATTTCTTCTGGGCAAAGTGGAAGGCCCCAGTGGTTTTTAATGACTGTTGAGCAGAATTCTCCCCACAGATCACTCTCTGGAATTACACGTGGGAACTCTGTGAGCAGATCTTGCCAAGGAGGACGCAGAGAGGACTCTGGCCATTTTCAATGGAGAACTCTTTGTAAGCCTCGTGGGGTTTTTTTTGTTTGTTTGTTTTTAATTTGATTTGTGCCCAAGCCAGTTCTCTTGGATAATTTTGTCTCAGTATCTGCCATCAAGTTCCTTCTCTTCTCTTTCCTGAATTTTGCCACTTACATAAACATTACCTGTGAGTCATTGGCTGTAGCCTGGCTATTTTTACCTCTGTTTTTCTAAATTGCTCCCCACCCCTTTGAGATGAACATTGAGTACCTGCTGGCAAAGATAAATTTCATGCCTCTGTTTGGAATTTGTGATTAAAACAGAGGAGTGTGTTTCTTGTTTCCAGAGAAGCAGTATGAGTTCTGTGACTAGGGTTTTGTTTCTTTGAGGACCTTGGCTGCACACGCCAGTAGGGCCGAAGACAGCACGTGCAAGCCAAGAGCACACACGGCCACCTCTCGACAGTTGGCCTGGCCGTGCCCACATTAGTCTTCGGGAATCTGTCACACAGGGTTTTCAGAGAAGGCTAGGATGGCCCTGATGTGTTGTGAGGACCTTCTAGTCCGTCGGAAAAGGAGCACATCAGGAAAGGTGATGTTTGCTGTCCCTCCTTCCTTTCCACGCTGTGCTTTCCCTGTCACAAAGGCTTGAGCGAGCAGTTGCCAAGAACACGGAGCAGGATGCTGCCTCCAAATCACACACCTAAATCACATGTTTGGAACACAGCAGTTAAGGACACCAGGCAGACCTGGGTATGAATCCCAGCCCCGCCTCTCGTTAGCTGTGTAACCTCACACGGCCCATGTAACCACTCTGAGCATCCACTTCCTCTTCATGAAATGGGGCCACCCCGAGGCTTGTGGTGAGGATTAAAGGGAGCGATGCAAGGAAAAATCCTGACCGAGGGCATCAGTGTGTGTTATTAATAGGGTGACCGCACATCCTGGTGGCCCTAACATGTAAATTAATCACTCTCAAAAATATCCTGGTTTCAACAGCCAATTAAATAGTCCCCCTAATTATGAGTTAGTGTTAGCTATTCTCAGAATCTTTGTTTTAATTCTATCAGTGTTAGTTATTCTATTCATTTAGGCCAGTTTTGAGGGCCACTTTACCCTCTAAGGACTGAAGGATGAATAGACCCCCACCTTTGTCAGTTTAACCAACTGTGGGCTGAGGGAGGGGGATTGGGGCAGAGCGACACTCTGTCATGATGGGTCACAGAGGATGGAACTTTTGGGGTTGAAGGATGAGCTTGCAAAATTGACCAGGACGTAACACGTTCTGCAAAAGGTTGGGAAGATGTGGGCCAAAGGTGGAATGTGTTGTGCAGCCCTCACGTGCACAGGTGCATATCCAGGGAATTCCTTTGCAGCACTACCTGTGAGAGAGAACATTGGTGTGTTGGAAGCAACCAAATGTTCACCAGTCATAGGAAATTAAGGAAGTTTGGGTCTGTTCTCAAAATGGAATCCTGTGCAGCCGCTGAATAAATGAATTTGACCTATTTGTGCTGCCACAGAAAGAACTCCAAGATGTATTGTTAAATTTTAAGAAAGAAAATTGGAACACCGTGTATTCATCCTTTCTACAAATATTTATTAAATGCCTAGCCTGTGCCGAGAACTGTCCTTGGTACTGGGGATGCAGTAGTCAGCAAGACAAGAGCAGAAGAAAGACAGTTCTTTCGTAAACCCATACGGTAACTTCAGGTAGTGAGAAGTGACAGGAAGGAGAGAAATCAGAGCCATGTAATAGTGGCGTGGGGGGGGCAGACACATCATGCCTTAGGGGATCAGGAAGGTCTCCTCAAACAGGTGGCACCCAAGCTAAGACCTGCATGGTGAGAAGGGAGTCAGCCAAGGAAGGGTCTGGGGCAGGAATGCTGAGCAGTGCTAAGTGTCCCAGATCAACATGAGGGAACTTGACGCCCTCCAGGAAGAGCAGGAAGTACAGCAGGCTGAGGCACAGGGGTAAGGACCCCAGCCCACGGGGTTCTTAGGCCCGAGAAGGAGTTGGGATTCTGTTATATGTGCAAAGGCAGGTCAGTGTCGGGAGGCCTTTTAAAGATCCCTCTGCTGGTGATAACATGCCGTGTACCTAATGCAATCCTATTTATTGCTTTTTAAAGATAGATAAGCTTTATAATGGCATAGGAAAAGAACTGGCAATCTGTATAGGGAACTGTTAACAGTAGTTACCTCTCTAGGCGAGGTGATGTGAATGGAGATTCTCTTGTTTTACTCTGTACCTCGGAGTCTGGATGTTTTAAAGCAAACTATGTTTATTTTGAGGTAATTAGCAAAGAAAACTGACTATGGTCTGATCCAGACTTCAGGAAGTTCATCATATTTTACCTACAGTAAGGCACAGTACACTGGAAGTCGTACCACATGACACGTTTCACCTTCTGCCTTTGGACTTGAATCTCTATTCATCACCATTCTTCATTATGTTTAAAATAGTGGGTTTAACTGAGACTAGAAATAGATTTCCCCTCTCCCTCCCTCCCCCTTTCCTTCCTTCTTTCCTTCCTTCCAAGAAGCTGACCTTTTTACTGCACTGTTATTTACATCCCTAAATGATTTTGCCTTCTAGAAGAAGTACACGTGTCAGAAATTCTTACAGGGCATTTTTTTTTTAATGTTTATTTTTGAGAGAGAGAGACAGCGTGAGCAGGGCAGGGGCAAAGAGAGAGGGAGACACAGAATCTGAGCTGTCAGCGCAGAGCCCGATGCAGGGCTCGAACTCACAGACCGCGAGATTATGACCTGAGCCAAAGTCAATGCTCAACTGACCTAGCCACCCAGGCGCCCCAAGGGCATTTTTTAAAATACCCAGGCCCTTTGTCTCTGTAAGTGAGCCCATTTGCGCCATTTTCCCTGTGGTGTTTTTACAGCATGTGTGGAGGGCACCTGCAGGGGGTGAAGGTGGTCTGGGTGGCGGAAAAGCTACCTGCGCTTAGGGAGCACTCAGGGCAGACACTTGAGCTGCCCCTTGGGCTTTTGCACCCTCTGCTGACGCTGACTCTTCCCTTTCCCCAGAACTCGAGAGATGTCCCCACCTCAGACTAGCCTGGGGTAACGGCGGTGGCTGGCTGTTCACTCTTGCATTGGACAGAGGGCTCGTTTTCATATGGTCCAAATTCAGCCTCCAGATGGGGTTTGTTTATCTATACGGAAAAGTTGTTAATATTTGAGTTGGTTGTCGTCATTAGAAGCTGGGAGATTTCCCATAAGAAACAGATTTCTGGCATTTCTCAAAAAGCCAGAAGGGAGACTGGTCAGCACTTAGGCCCCCCACCCACAGGGCTGCCATCAGAACTTTGTAGGTGGGCTTGTGTCTTCTTCGCCCACGTGCTGGTCACCCTTTTTTTATTTTTATTTTTATTGTCTGGCCTCTAGAGATTCTGTTTCCAAACCCTGGCCTAGGGCACCAGACTGAGCAAGCCAGCCAGACCCCTTCTGGGCTATGCTTGTCCCCTTGCTGCAGAGCGCTGAAGCAGGACGGGCCCGAGGGTGGGCAGGAAAGGTCCCTGGGGCTCTGGCAGCGGGAGCTAGCATTCAGTCCCAAGGCAGCTCCCACATTCTGCTGTCACGTCTGACTTCCCAGAGCCTTTGGCTTTCTTGGAGTTGTCATTTAATGTTGGGACTCCAGCGGGTGGTGATGACCTCTGTGGGTGGGACAACAATGCCGGTGGAAGGCCACTCGTGTCACAACCCACACGTGACTCAGGCTCCTCTGGGGCTGACCTTTACTTCAAGGTGAGCACTGCAAGGTCTCAGCTTTGCCAGTGAGTTGATAACCCTTCTTGAAGCAGACTGGTGAAACAAAACCCCTTGGAAGCCCAGAAGCTAGGAACTTTTTGCCACTGGACTGTGATGCTAAGGCTCAAGTCCGTAAAAACTGAAGTGTGTCTGTGCCTCTGTTCGTGATTGAGCCTCAGTTTTCTCATCTGGACATTGGGACTGACAGCACCCACTCACGGAACCATCAGGGGCTAGTGAGGACAAGCCGCGTCCAGTGCCCGTCACAGAACCAGGGCTGAACAGGTGTGGGCAGTCTCTCAGCTGTTCAATGGAGTCCCACACCCAGCCTCTGGTCTCTCCCCTTTTTCACGTTGCTTTGCCTTCCCTGTATTTTGTTGCAGCGTCAGAAAGGGTCAGCAGTCTGGAAGGTCACCTGCAGGAGCGGACTGGGAAAACAGCCGGAGGCTTTCTTGTGTGTGTTTTATCTAGCGGAGCAGTGGTTCAGAGCGACTCTTGACCTGCAGAGTCCTCTCGGTGCCCTTGAGGAGCAAGGAACGCTGTCGCCCGTCCTCTCCTTTCCCTGTCCCATCTTGCCAGGTGTGCCTTATGGGAAACATTGCTGGAATTTTCCTGCCCAGCCTCCTCTGTAGGAAAGAATGAAAGAGCAAAGGAATTTGCTGTTTCCCAAGAGGACTGGGAGATAACCTGGCTCTGCCTCGGCTCTCCCTCAGGCCAGCAGTGCCTGGTGTGCCGCACACAGAGGGGGCCTGCCTGTATTTGGAGGGTATTGTTTAGACCACAGGCTGAGCCCTTGAAATGTCTCCGATGTAGTTCTGTGATCACCCTTTTCCAAATGGAGAGTCAGCCAGTAATCCCTGTCTGTCTGCAGAGTGGCAGGAGTGAGTTAAAATTTTGCGTATAAATTTTGACTTGTAATTCATATATTTGGGCACCTTATTTAATGCCTTTGTAAAAGTCTCAGCTTCCTTACATGAAGACGAGACCCCCTTTCTGCTGCTGAGGCAGAGGGCAGCACTGAGAGGTAACCCAAGCACAGAGCTTTGGGAGTAGTTAGGGGCAGTGGGCAGATGCAGAGATCAGTCCTGAGTGACCAGTAGAAGGGGTGGACTCTCTTGTGGAGCTTTAGACAAAGGACACAGGGGCGCCTGGGTGGCTCAGTTGGCTGAGCGTCCCACTTCAGCTCAGATCATGATCGCACGGTTCATGTGTTCGAGCCCGTGTCGGGCTCTGGACTGACAGCTTGGAGCCTGGAGCCTGCTTCGGATTCTGTGTCTCTCTCTCGCTCTCTGCCCCTCTCCCACTCACACTCTGTCTCTGTCAAAAATGAATAAATGTTCAAAAAAAAAATTTTTTTTTTTAAGAAAAGCACATTGGGGCGCCTGGGTGGCGCAGTCGGTTAAGCGTCCGACTTCAGCCAGGTCACGATCTCGCAGTCCGTGAGTTCGAGCCCCGCGTCGGGCTCTGGGCTGATGGCTCAGAGCCTGGAGCCTGTTTCCGATTCTGTGTCTCCCTCTCTCTCTGCCCCTCCCCCGTTCATGCTCCGTGTCTCTCTCTGTCCCAAAAATAAATAAACGTTGAAAAAAAAAAATTAAAAAAAAAAAAAAAGACACATAGCCTTTTATTGTCATTCTTCTCTGTTTATATTTTAGGAGTAACTCCTGGTGATTATGGGAAAATTAAAAATTAAATAAAAATCCACCCATTCTCCACATCCATTCTCATGCTCCCTTTCTTCCCCAAGAGTGGTTCACCTGCACCCCTTCTCTCCATGGGTGATGCAGACAGCTCACGCCTGTTCAGCCCTGGTCCTGTGATGGGCACTGTACGTGGCTTGTCCCCATTCCCCTCTGACAGCTCCATGAGTGGGTGGTGTTAATCCCACTGTCCAGATGAGAAGACTGGGGCTTGGAGAGGGGAAGAAGCTTGGCCTGAGGTCACCCAGCCTCGGGAAGGAAGCTGCCAGGGAGGGGGGCCTTTAGCATTTCTCTACAACCTCTGGGAGGCCCCAGCTATTCTATTTTTCGCCTTTTTTTTTTTTTTTCTGAAAACATGTAATCCCAGAGGGTCCAGTGACTTGTAGAAAAGTGTGATATTATTTGCGTATCACGTAGCAGGTGCTTTTCTGCTCTCCTCATGTCTGCTTTGCCTCTTGCTCCCTCGCTAGGCATCATGGCCATCCTGTTCTCGGGCATCGTGATGTCCCACTACACGCACCATAACCTGTCCCCGGTCACCCAGATCCTCATGCAGCAAACCCTGCGGACCGTGGCCTTCCTGTGCGGTGAGTTCTGCTCTGTGTGGTTCTGCGCAGGCCTGCCCACAGCTCACTGCTCTGCCACACCCTGCTGCGGGAGGCCTCAGATTCTCCCTCTCAGGAGAGACGACAGAATTCCTCAGAGCCACATACTGCACTCCCTTATCTTTTGTTTGTTACCCTGGCTTTCAGATTCCATAATGTAAACCTAACTCCTGAGAACTTTCTGGAACATTTGATGGCCTACAATTTTAAGACTAAAAATAATGAGACGCATATGTTTATAATGTTTTAAAGTGACAGTCCCAAAAATGTGTTCCTTGGCACTGGCATTGGTGAGGGTTAGGTGGGAAAAGACTTCCCAGTCCGACAAGAGTCTGGAAAATCCTGGGGAAAATACAGTTTCAGCTTGTGAGCTGCAGGAGCATCTTGAGTTACTGAGGAGGGGGGTGGGGAGTATAGTTAGAGCATTTCCCCAACCTGTCCACAGGCCCCTTTTCCGCTAGAGCGGCTTGAAGGACACGATCCGGGAGCTCGTACACTGATGCTCTCACTGTCGGGCGGGGCCTGCTCTGAGGACTGTTTCTGTCAAACAGTTTCAATGTGAGCTCTTGCTCCCCCACGCTCTGTACCTCCCTGCCTCCTCCCTAGTTAAGAGCCGGCAGCAAAGGACACACGCTCACACGGTCCCTCCCCTCCGGCTTCCCGGGTGGCAGGGCCCTGGCATCATCGCCGGCATCTGCCTGGCACTGCGGCGGGGTTCGTCTCATTTCCGAGCACAGGCGCCACACCGTCATGTGCTGGGAGGCAGGGCCAGGCCGTGCAGAGGCTTCCTTCTGCAGCCCAGGGGGTTCACATGCCCAGAGGTCAGATGACCTGCCCGCGGTTAAGAATTGATTCTGGAATCCAGGTCTGTCTCTTCCTGGTCCGGGGGGGTCTTTTTTCCACAACGTCCGACTCACAAAGTCCTAGCCAGGGACGCTGAGCCTGACTCTCACAATTCAAGTAATATAAAGCAAAACACCCATCTATTTTGTACCCACCGGACTGGCATATCTTTAGTTTGCTAATACCCACTTCCACCGTGGGCATATGGAACACAGGCCCCACTGACATGCGTGGGCACTGATGCCATCTTCTGTGGAGAATCATTACAGCATCAGGCTGGGTTTCAGAGCCGTATGCTCTTTGACCCAGCAACGCTCCCATCAGGAATTTAGCCTGGACATTTGTCATAACTGGTAACAGCAGAAACAGAAACAGCTTAAGTATCTATTGGTGGAGGCTTTGTGAAATGAGCCATGACATACCGACATAATGGAATGTGTGCTGCCAGGGAAAAGCGTAACATAGATCGGAGTAGGTTCTAAATGAGCTTATTTGGAAAGATCACAAAAATGTTTATTAGATAAGAAGAAAATTCAGGGAGAAGGGTGGGAGCAGCTTGTGCACTTGCTTTAAAAAGAGACACGTTTGGAGGAAAAACGTGGCTGAAATGTTTTAAAACAGCCTCTGTTGTAGGATGTTCAGCTGTTTTAAAGTGCAGTCTTTGTCTCCCTGATTATTAGACTATTCTGGGGGACATCACCAGTTGAGCAGGGAGACTAGTGCTGGAAATTCGTACGATGCTTTTTCTTGGGATAGACAAGTGCCTGCTTGCACAGCCAGTAGGTGTCAGACTCTTTCTGACTCTTGTGGGGTGAAGCCAAGAGTTGGAAATACCCTCCTTGCTGCAGACCCTGCGGGCGTAAGCCATCTTCCCAACCCTGTGGCGGCATTAACTACACGGAGTCGAGCATTTAGCTTAGTCCGCCCCAGCAAGGAAGTCAGCAGAGGGCCCCTTCCACATTAGTTATGTGGTGTCTGCGGCCATTTGCTCCGAATTTTTGCCGCTCTGCTGTAGTCGTGATCCTTGCTAATCACAGTGTTCGACAAATAGACAGGTTCATGTGTTCATCATCTTCCCGGGTGGGAGAGTATTGATTTGCATGCGTTTGACAGTGGACCCACTGCCTGGGGAGATTCTGAACAAGCACGGGTTGTGTGTGTGAGAGGGAAGAACGGAAGACGCCAGGCACACGTTCCACCAGGATCTCGGCTGCAGGATTTTCCAGAAAATAAGCAGAGTGTTACAGTGGGCTCTCACTCGCCGTGAAATGTTTGCTTGCTTAACAATTTAGTACTGTGTTAGAAGAAAATAGTTGGGGCTGAATAATCCATTCTTTGGTTTGTTTCAGAAACATGTGTGTTTGCATTTCTTGGCCTGTCCATTTTTAGTTTCCCTCACAAGTTTGAAATTTCCTTTGTCATCTGGTGCATAGTAAGTATTTTCCTTGTTTTTTATTTAATTACTTATTTGTAGATCAATAACCACATGTTCTGGATTCATTTATGTAACTGTTAACTGTTCAAGGTCAACAGCTACATAGACACTCTTCTGTTTAAAGTTTCTTTTGTTAAAAAATCACAAACATACAATAACAGGAAAAGGGATGGAATTAAGTGAATGAATATCCCTGGGAATGAATTTTTACTTCTTTTTAAATTACAAACGGCCTTGAATTTATGGTCTTGTCTAAAAAGTAAAAGTTTATCTGTTTTCTCTGGTGGTAAAAGCAGATCTCAGAATTGGAACACATAATTGATCATAACCATGTAAAAACGTCATGCATAGAAACAAAAACCATGTTAAAAGATATAGCTCAATGTTCACAGTGGTTATAGAATTGGGGATGATTTTCTTTTCTGCTTTTTCTGGATAATTTATAACGCATATATTTACTTATTACTGTAATTTTCTTCCAATGTGTCCATTTTGGAACGTGACCTTGGACACTTGTATGAAGTAAAGATTACCAGGCCCTTACCTCCCCGGAGGTTCACCCAGAACAGTCGTCCCAGGTGATTCTTACCATTCAGAAGGTTTGGGAAACTTATCAGTGGATTCGAGGCGGCAGGAGGAGACAAATTAAAATATACCTTTAAAAAGGGAAAAGAAAAGTTCACAGTAGAATAAAATCTTTTGGAGAATGGAGTCGGGGAGAATAAATGTTTAGCATTTAAAACAAAGGTCCAGCTCCCTCGGGCGTCTGATGGAAGTGACATGAATGGCTTCTAACATGTGGGCATTTAGCCTGGCGCTCCCAGGCCCGCCTTCCCTTGGTGTGAGCTCACCTCCCATAGGCCCGCCTGCTGATTCATACTGTAATCCCTAATTTCATCTTTGTTGTCCTTTTAGATCCACCGTTAATTTAAGACATGTGAGAACACACCTTGTTGTTGCTGAATTATCATAATTCATCTTCGGTTAGCTTTTATTACCAATGCCACTTAACAAAACCCAGCTGTTGAGAGGCAGGCTTTTTTTTAGCACTTTCACCTACCATGTGCAAACCAGTGAGGCCTACCTGTTTGGCATGGGGGGAAACTGAGGCACAGAGAAGCTAAAGAACCCTGAGGAAAAGTGTTTCTCCTTGCAGCAAGAGCCCTTTGCTTTTGTCACTGTTATCTGTCCTCCGAACTCAGGTTTCAGGACAAAGAGAACAGCAGCAAGAGCTATTTACAGAAAGTCTAGCAGCCTTCAGTGTGGTCCCTGGGTCAAAGGGGCCACATGTGGTCAAACCCGAAACTCAAGTGCGGGAATGAAAGATCAGATTTCATTGGGTGAAACGAGATGGCTCTCTCGGCCGTGGGCTGCGAGCAAAGGGAAAAAGGGAAGGTGCTCCGGAGGGGGAGCTGGGGCTCCCCCACCGTTGCCGGAGGCTTCCCCGTGCTATTCAGACGGGTCACCTTCCGCTTACTCAGTGGTCAAGGGCACGGGCTGTCGGGGCTGACCAGGTTTGGGACATGGCTCCACAACGTCCTGCCTGGGTCAGCTTGGACCTGTTACTTAACTTCTCTGTCTCCGCTTACTCCTGAAATGGAGACAGTAATACCTGCTTCATAAGCATATTGCAGGGATCTGAACTGAACAAGATAGAATGCATAGAAAATGCTTAGCACAGTGTCTGACATAGAAATGTTACATGATTGGGAGCCATTGTTATTAACTCGGCCATCCGAGGCACACAGTCCAAAGCAGGCTCAGTTTGTGCTTGTTAAAAGAATAAACTTAGAGTCTACCGAATGTACACGTGTGTATCATATGTATGTTATTTTAAGTTAGTTTAGTGAGAACCAACATGAAAACAAAGAGAGCAAATTAACAGTAGTGCTAGGTATCCACTCAGACAAGATTTAAACCTTATCTAAAGCTGTATTTTGTTAAGACTGACTTTGGAGATGGTTAGGAGCCAAAAGCCATGGCAAGCAACTGACCAGACAGGGTGTGTGTGACCTCCTTCTAGAACATACCTACACATTCCTTTTGCTTGGAGAGCAGCATTTACGAGAAGCATCACGTGGGCCCTTCTCAGTGATCCCTCCTTTCCCTGAGGAGTGGGGCACCCACGGGAGGGTGAGGAGCGCCTTGTCTGTCCCTCCAGAGCTAGCCCGTTGGGAACGATTAGCGCAGGCCCGTCCCATGGCGGAGCACCTTGGGAGGAGTGAGATTGCCCCTAAATTAATCTCTGGATAGTTTGGCATGGCCTCTTGCCATTCAGTTTTGTTCTGCTCTCATAACGAAAGCCGGCTTGGATGCCTTGTCAGTCGTCTCTTTCTGGCGACGGAAACATGACGTACAAAGTGCTCTTCTTTCCCAGACTCCTAGACACTAGCGTCTAGAGCAGCACGCCCCAGCTGGCTCTCTGCCTAGCACTGTCATTCATGTCTCTCATGGCCAAGGGGAAGGCTGTGTTTATTACGGGTGTGTCACAAGATCTGTGTTAGCTTCAACAAGCTTGAACTTGGAAGACCAGAGGTTTCTGAGACTCAGTTGGTTGTTATTCACAGGTACTTGTACTGTTTGCCAGAGCGGTGAACATTTTCCCTCTTTCCTACCTCCTGAATTTCTTCCGTGATCATAAAATCACACCGAAGATGATGTTCATCATGTGGTTTAGTGGTAAGTCCAACGCTGAATGAACAGTGGAAGCAAAATACGTCGTATAAAGGCACACGTCGTGTAGAGAGAGCCCTTTGACGATGAGCAGGCCTCAGAAGGCAAAAACCATACGAGCTCCCGCTTAACAAGCACCGACTGTAACCCAGGCCCCGGGCGAGTCCCTTGCAGACAGGACCCCTCACAGCCTCGGTGCCATGAGTAAATGGGTAGAGTGCACATCTCCTCCACACGTGAGGAGGCTCAGGCTCGAGGGCAAAGGCCTTGACTGGAGTCGGGGGACGACAGGAGGCAGAGCCAGTATTTCCTGTCTCTCTGTCCCTGCTCCTCTGGACAGACAGGGCCGCCCGGGGGAGATGCGAGGCACAGCTCTCACCTGCCTGCAAGTAACGAAGGGCTCAAAATAAAAAAGGTCTGTTTAAACTTTTTTGCCAGTACAGGCTGGGTTTGGATATTTTTTTAATTTAGTCACTGAGTTCTGAGAGTCGATTGGAACATTTTAGTTTCTGTGCAAATTCCTCCACCTTTTAAAGGATGGGAATGATTTCCTATTTGGTACCTAATGAACTGGCTCCTTAGGCATCTTTAAATTTGTTTTTGAGCAATGTGTCCAGCTCTTTGTACTTTCTTATTTAAATAATATAATTTAAATATTCCACTTGGGTCGGGGTATAGCAACATGCCTTATAAGCTGTTCTCTACTCAACAGCATTATCTATAATTCCTCACAGATTTCTCTCCTCTTTCAAAAGGCCTCGTTTAAAATATTTATGTGTGTCTGTGCGAGGTATGTGTGTATGCAGAGCAAGAGAAACTTTTTTCTCAATCTTTCTTGCCAGTGAGAAAAAAGTTTTTGTAAAGTAGTTAGTTGATTTCAAAGAACATCTAAGAGATGTTGTATCAGATATTTTACATGTTATGTGAGCTTTGTGGGAGAGGGGCGCAGGCTAAGAGACCTCTGTGGCACGGGGCGTGCTGCTTTAAACAGTGAGGACTGTTGACCCCAGTGATTTTCTGAGCCCCTTCCCCACAGATTTTCACCCTCTCTTTGCTGGATCCTCAACCTCTGTCTCTACTGAAGCATCATCATTGAAACTCTTGAAGATTCTTCTCTTTGCCTCCAAAACCGCAGCAACTTCAACCCAGATCCCTCCCACACACCCCCTCCAGCTGCTTCCCGTCTCCCATCGCAGCCAGACCTCTTTAAGCGGGCTGTCCTCACCTGTTTTCTTCACTCTGTCACCCCCCATTCACGGGGCTGAACTTGGCCTTGCCCAGGTCACCAGCGACCTTCTGCAGCCAGACCTGGTGGGCACTGGGTAGCCCTGGTCCAGCCCAGCTCCATGGCTTTGAGCTCCTTCTTCCCACCGACCTGCTTTCTGCCCGGAGACTCTCTTCCCTGGGCCTCCGGGCCATGCTCCTGGTTGCCCTCTTTTCCCTTTGGGGTCTCCACAGTTTCCCTCCTCCTTTATAGACCCCTCAGTATTGGCTTCCTCAGGACTCAGCCGCAGACCTGCTGCTGCTCTTGTGTTCCCACAAGCTCACTCATCCTGCGGCAGTTCCCATACTCCCAGAGCTGTTTGCTCTTAGATCCTGACTCCTGTGTCTAAATCCTCCTTCAGTGCTATGGAGACACTGCGATCTCATTGTCTAGGACTGAACTTACCTTTCTGCCCAACCTGCTTCTTTTCCAGCATCCCCTTTCCATGGAAAACAATAATGTGTATTACAACAAACGTGTGGCTAACTCAGTGTTTGCTGTGTCTACACCTGTCCTGTTCCAAGACATTTTATCCTCAGGCCACCCACCTGGCAGGCCCTGTTTTTAGTCCCGTGTGACAGGTTGAGAGGTTGAGTTGAGTCTCTCGCTTTAACCTGAGAGGCCTGGGGGAAAGCAGCGCATTAGGGGGTAAATCCAGGAGCTGGACTCCAGACCCTGTGCCTAGACCACTCCTAGGATGCCCCACCATCGTCCGTGCCCTTCCCTTCCTCGGCCACCCCACCTCCCGCTCGCCCCTGTGGCCTGTTGCTTCCACTCTCCATGTCTCTCTTAATGCCATCCCCCTGCTGTGTCCCCATCTTGGGTCTACACTGCTCCTGTGGTCACACCCCCATCATGCTGTGATGCTCCAGCCTCCGTGTCCGGACCAGATCCTTCACTGTGTGCGCCCCCCCCCCCATTCCCCCTTCTTCTGGCGCTCACCATCTCACGGGTCCTTGTCTGAGGTCTCCCCTCCCTGGGACCTCCCCTCTCTGGCACCAGGCAAGCCAGGAATTTTCCCAGGAAGTGCTGTTTTCCAGCTCAGTGTAGCCCTTCAGCCCAGCTAGCAGCCTTGCGGGGGACCACACCAGGAAGGAAGAAGGGAAGAGTTCATGAAGCAGTTCCCAGCAGCCTCTGGCCAGCAGCAGAGCAGCCCCGAGCCTGTCAGGAGCTGTGCAAGGGCAGCATCTTCAGAAACCAGGGGCTGCTGGCCAAATTGCCTTCTTTGTGTGGCCCCGGGAGGACATGTCTTTCTCAGTCTCAGTTCCATATCTATCTATCTATCTATCTATCTATCTATCTATCTATCTATCTATCATGAAGAAATGGAGGATCAGCTTTACCGGCTCTCCTGTGAAGGCCCAGCGAGATTGTGTGCGCAGAGCCCTTAGCACAGGGCCTGGCACACACACGGGGAGTGTGAGCCCTAGGCTGGATAATTCTCACGCATGCACATCTGGGGCTTTGTGGCCCGGACAGGTCACCTCCTGTGAGCTGCTTGGCCACCTTGTGAAGTGGGAGTGGCATGAGCTCAGGTCCCACTTCTCTGCAGCCTGCTCTCCTCACACCCCTGAGCCTCACGGGAGGACCTCGCACTCGGCAGTGGGGTGCGTTAGAATGTGCGGCCGGCCTGAAACGGGGCCGTCCCCGGATTGCCAGGGCGCCCGGTCGGTGACGCAGCTCCCTCCTCCCTGTGCGTCTCCTCTGACCCCCTTCCCTGCCCCCAGGCCTGCGGGGGGCCATCCCCTACGCGCTGAGCCTGCACCTGGACCTGGAGCCCATGGAGAAGCGGCAGCTCATCGGCACCACCACCATCATCATCGTGCTCTTCACCATCCTGCTGCTGGGCGGCAGCACCATGCCCCTCATCCGCCTCATGGACATCGAGGACGCCAAGGCGCGCCGCAGGAACAAGAAGGACGTCAACCTCAGCAAGACGGAGAAGATGGTGAGTGCCGCGTGGGCCGGGTCAGGGGCAGGGGCTTGGTCTCCACCGCAGCTGGGAAAGGGGGAAACGAGACACGATTTGAGGACCTGAGCACCTACGCACGCACGCGTGCACGCACGCAGAACCAGAATTCCGAGGGGGAGCCTGGGGGGCCCAGCGTTTTGTGGATTCCCAAGCCCTCCCGGTGATGCTGATGCGGCCGGAGTTTGAGAACCACCGACCGCCTCACAGCATCCACATGCCCTCCCCGCCCCTCCCCCCTCCCGCACCCGCACCACTGCCCAGGCCCGCCAGCGCAGGCCACGTGGCTGTGGCTTCAGAGCCACTCCTCCAGCAGAGCAGCAGATGCCACATTCATACTCTGGTGGCCTTTGGTCATCCCTGCGGAGGGTGGGCCCGTCCTGGGCCTGGGGCCTGGAGCGGTGCTGACCTAGATCCAGTGACCTGACACCGCCTCCCCCTCCAGACCGGCCCTGCCACGCTACTTGTTCTCATTGCCCTCCAGTTCCCACCAGGACCGTTCCCCGCCCCCCACGCCGACCAGGAGACGCCGGCCCAGGGCAGAAGCACAGCTGGTGCAGCTATGGGCAGAAATGACAAAAGAGCCTCCCTTGTTCCGTTTTCTGGGAATGAAATAACCTAGGTGGCAGTTCCCAGTCCTGCCTGCACATTAGAATCACCCTGGAAAGCTTACAGACCAAACCCCAGCCCACACATAAATTCTGGTTTATTCATAATTCTGGTTCATCCCTGGGTATCCATCATGTTTTCACAAACCTTCCCGCCTCCCCGTGGGCTCCCAGGAGGCGCTTTGCTGGCCACAGACACCCCGCACTGATGCGAAAGCACAGTTAGGGCTGGGGACGCTGGTGGCCGGAAGTGAAGGGCCGCTGGATGGGCCGGGTGGTGTGGGGCCCCCCAGGAAGACGCCCGCTGATGACCCCCAGACTCCCTCCCCTCCCCCCACAGGGCAACACCATCGAGTCGGAGCACTTGTCAGAGCTCACAGAGGAGGAGTATGAAGCCCACTACATCAGGCGGCAGGACCTCAAAGGCTTCGTGTGGCTGGACGCCAAGTACCTGAACCCCTTTTTCACGCGGCGGCTAACTCAGGAGGTGGGACACTGGCCCGCGCCCCCCAGCTGAGGGTCCCTCCCCTTCCTCCCTCAGGACCTGCCGTGGCCAGAAGCGGGTGGGCAGCGGGGAGCCGGCCGGGCCAGCTCCCCCCTACTCGGCCCTCTCCCCAGGCCGGCAGCTGGATGCGCTGTGGAACTCAGCATCTGCTGTTTTTCCTTCACTGCCATTTTTAGCGCTAGTTTAATAATAGACTCGTCAACAGTTTGGTTTTCCTGGATGATAGACTCAGGACATTGATCGGCTACTGTGTCTGAGCTGAAAATTTCAAACATGCGGGGCCTCAGGCATTGGTTTAGGGCTCTTGTTCCATCCCCCTGGGCACAGCTGTCCTCTGGGTGACAGTGACACAGACTCCTGGGGACCAGCCTGGGCCTGCTTTGCCGAAACTGCCATCCGGCCCCACCTTGTTTCTGAGCCATTTTCCCTCGCCGGCGGTCATGATCGCCGTCAGCGAGGGAGCTCTTGCCGAGCCGGGTGTTGTGCCAGATGTTAATCATTGTAGCTGCGTTTCATCCTCCCGACATCTTGTGTCATGGCTGCAGCTGCTCTTTGACTAGACACTGGGGAGACTGAGGCCTAGAGAGGTGAACTAACCACCCGGGGTCACACAGCTAATACATGGCAGAGGTGGAAGCAGAGCCCAAGTGTGTCTGATTCCAGAAGCCATGTTTTTTAACATCACGCCATCCTGCCGCCTACTCCAGCTTCTGAGTGACACCCCCTGTTAATCTTACCCCTACAGAGAAAAATCCCAGCTTCAGTTAGTCGGTTAAGACTTTGAAATTGCCCGTGGCCATGTACCCTGCCTCCCTGAGGTATAAAGCAGCC